GGAATGCATGTTCATTTGTCTTGATCCATTGGTAGTCAAGGTTCGGATCACTGCTATGCAGCAGGTGCTTGCTGGATGACTTTGTAGATAAGTCGCTCCGTTTTACTGTAGAAACAAGAAGCTACTAGGAGCAAAGGGCATCGCTACTAGGAACAAGAAGCTACTAAATACCTGAAAGATCTGCCACACATTGAGAGAGGACTTTTACATGGAAGGCGACGCTGATTGGCGGCTGGAATGATTGCAAGCGCTATATTTGGTCTAGTATGGTCTAGTGTCTAGTGACTAGTGGTTCAGTTTGGAGTCAAAAGAGGCGTCTCTCCGGTGGTAAAGTTGACAGGAACCGAGCTTTGCTCGTTGCCGAGTGGTGCCACGACACCAGAGTGCACCTGCAAGCACGGAGCCCAGGGCAATGAAAACCTCACGGGGCGACCGGGAGACCAGCAGACAGCTCGCACGACCAGCAGGTGTCATACAGCTCGCTCCAAACCGGTTGAGTTGCCCGGTTGACATCGAAAAACAAATAAAGGTATCTTGTTACTAGTAGAGATGGCCTCCAACCTACTTGCGATGGCCTCCACCTAATAGCATCCTTTTTCCCTTGATGTTGGAACTCTCAGGCCAAGCTATTGGGATGCAGACTGTCGGATGCCTAGAGATGTTCAATCGCTTCGAGTCATTCACATGGCAACCTCACCCACACTTGATGGTTTCTCAAGATGATATTTGGTGTTTCTCCATGCTGTACTGTTTTGCAATGTTTTTTTGGGGGGTGATTTTTGGGACTCCGAAGACGACAATTATTCTTTCTGCGAAGCCAGGCCGGTGGAGCTGCACCTGTACTGAAGCCGGAACAGTTTAGCCCTCAATCCTCAACAGTTTGTGTTCTTTTCCAAATTGCAAAAAACATGTGGCAACTTGGCCTCGAAAGTTGTTTGTTGTAGTTGCTAGCGACTCAGAAGGGGCCATATAGACGTATTGCTTCATATGCCTTGTGAGCGATGCGCAGTTGAAGTGCAACGATGGCTCTACGGGTGATGGGTCCTGTCAATGCAAGCCTGAAGCCTCAGAGTCCGTTCTTTGTTCAGACATGTTCAGACTGTTCCAACCTAGAAAAGGAGAACACTAAGGGAGCGTAAAACAAATAGCGATGACCTCCAACCTAATAGCGATGGCCTCCCCCTAATAACATTGTTCAGACATGTTCAGACTGTGACTAGGAACCAATAGCGATGGTCCCCCCACAATAGCTTTGTTGGGAGGTAAAGAGTTGTTGTAAAATCCATTTTGCGGTCCCAAAACATGGTGAAAGGCCACGAGCCGGAGTTTTGATTCCCAAGTCTGGGTTTCACCTCTCTCCTTGCGACATTTTCAAGGTCTGGATTTATCGGCTTCGCCTGTGACAGCTGCGCCGCCTACATGTGACCCCGATTCGGGTGTCGATTCTTCTGCAATTCCACGGTGCAAACTGGGAGCAATGACCTCCAAAACTAGTAACAAGAAGTTACTAGGAGCAAAGGGCGCTACTAGGAGCAAGGACGCTACTAGGGGCTCCTGGCTTTACTACTAGGAGCAAGAAGCTACTAGTGTCAAGAAGAGAAAAGAAAAAAGGAAAGAGAGAAAACAAGAGACCTGAGAGCTACTAGAAATGGCCTCCAATCTACTAGCGATGGCCTCCAACCCCAGTTTCACCAGTCAAAGAAAAGATCTTCCATAGCTCGATGAATGATGAAGACTTTCTGCTGTTTGTCATAGAATACCGTACTGCCCCTTCCAGGTATCCTCCTGGTGAATGCTTCCGGCGGTGTGAGGAGGGAGTCGATTGCTTTCGAGGATCTTGCGTACTACTGGCATGTTTGTGTGCTCCTCCATGTACAACTTGAGTCTTAGAGGCACCTTTTGCTTCCGATGTGTTCTCATTTCCTTGCGCCAGACACCCTTCACCGGCATTTGTGAGTGCGAGCAGTGTTCTAAGACTCCGACTTTGTGTGCTGAATCATTCACAGTCAGATATGGTCTTTGCTGTGAGACCTTTAGCCCCCCAGTCCTTAAACATCCTTAAACTCCCAAAACACCGGGTCAATCGCTTTTGCCTGTTGGGTTTTCAAGTTGTTGATCGCTGAGGACTGGCTTTGAAGGCTCCAATTGTGGGTGCTCTGTGGACATGAGCTCGGTGGCTCAGAGAAGGGAAAAGAGCTGAAACGGTCAGAGTAACGACTTTGCGGGTACTGGAAGCTACTAGGAGCAAAGTGACGCTACTAGGGGCTCCTGGCCTTACTAGGAGCAAGGACGCTGCTAGAAACAAGGCTCAGCTTCAGAGACAACTGCAACACACAGCAATCCCCTGCATTCTGGAGGTCCTGGTGACAGTTGCGGAGGACGAGGTTTCTGCACGGAGAATGGAACCTGTCAGTGCGACGTCAGGCGTGGTTGATGTTGGTGTTTGGATGGCTCTTGGTCGATGTCACAGCTACTTGAAGGTTCCGTTCTGAGGAAACATGTTACAATCATGCACTTTTTGTTGGGGCCAAATTCTTGGACAAAAATAGAGAAAGGGCGTGGGTTTTATGGCCGAATCTTTGGACTTGGGACAGCTTGGCACAGCCTGTCACGACGCTCTCATCGAAGTAGTGGCAGGGTTCAAGGCGCTTCGTGCGCCGACAGCAAGTCCTACCAGCTGGCTGAGACCAATTGTTTGGCACCCCAGCTGTTCCCAGAGCTGGTCCAAACTGTCAAAGAAATCCTTTTGCGCACAGACAGGTAAAGTGGGTCGAATCAGCTGTGTTGCAAAGAAGTTTTACAATCATGGGTGTTTGAGAGATCTCACCACATAAAGGCATGTTGCTGGTGAATCAAGACAGTAAAGACAATGAAGAAAAGGAAAAACCCTTGTTGCAAGAGAATATAGACGCGGATCTCCAACTTCAGACTACTCGCAGCATTTTCCGTGTGCCTTCACCGTCCATGTTTGCCTACTTGTCTCTCAGGTCCATACTGCAACAACGTGGGCATTTGCATTGAGGCTTTTCCACCGTGGGCAGTTCTTTGGGATGTTGGAGGTTGAACAGTTGAGGTGCCCGGTATCGGCTGTGGTATCTGGATGGTAGCCGTGCGCTAGACTTCCCGTTGTCCTCGGGGCAGTCGCCAACAGGAGACAGCTGGGCAGTTCGCCTGGCCCTTGGGATTCGAATCTCGAAGATTCGGCGTTGAAAAAACCAGACATAAAGAAGAAGATTGAAGAGGCACTACGAAAGTCTTGTAGAGATTGCTGAGTCCGAACGTGTTTTCTTGGGAAACGCCTTCCCTTTGCCAGACAGAGACTAGCTCCAAGGCATGCAGCTGTGCAAAGCAGCTTGGATACTATGGCGTCAATTGCGAGGCAAGTGAATCCAAGAGGTTGACAACATTTGACAACAGTGTTGTGCCTCAAACGCAAAGGCATCCTTGACATCTCGATTAGGTTGGAGGCCATCGCTATTAGGTTAGGAGCAAGGACGCTACTAGTAGCTCCTGGCATCGCTACTAGCAACAAGAAGCTACTAGGAACAAAGGGCATCGCTACTAGGAGCAAGAACGCTATTCGGTTGGAGGCCATCGCTACTAGAAAAACTCACGAGAAAGGAACCTCTTTGCTGGGATGTGGCTCTGTTGTTGGGGGCAAGGATGCGGAAAGACAGCTGTAAGCACCAATGCATCAGTCCCCAACGAGAAATGAGTCGCTCAAACCAGGAGCGTCCCAAGATCTCAGAAGCCTAACCAGAAGCTTTTGCGTTTTTGCCGCAGGTCTTTTGCAGCACTTGTAACCCTTCGAACACCAGGACCATACTGAAACTTGTACATGTTCAGGCCTGAATATTGATCAAGTCTTGGCTTGACAGTGTCCAGTGCAACAGGAACTGTGCTATTGCCAACCAGGTGGAGCAATGCTTCTGCAGCTCGGTCATGAAACCAAAACAATCTCTCAGCAAGAAATAGCATAGGACCGCATGGGAGCTAGATGCAGATCAAGATCGAACTGTCTTGCTGGTGTTCAGACTGCTTGTCACAAAAACAGCCACCTACGGGGCAATTCAGTCCATCCAAGCCTTGTGTAGTAATTACTTATACATTCATATTTGGACCATGTCCGCACGTTCGCTGCCCCACATACTTCTACACAGAGCCAACACACCTGAGGCGAAGATTGGTGGTGGGGCGTGATTCTGAGAAGCTGCGTTTCTCACATAGCTTCTTGCTCCAGTAGCGATAGCCTCCAACCTAATAGCGATGGCCTCCACCTAGTACCTTGTTCCTAGTAGCTTCTTGCTCTTGGTAGCGACGCCCTTTGTTCCTAGTAGCTTCTTGTTACTAGTAGCGATGCCAGGAGCTACTAGTAGCGTCCTTGCTCCTACTAGCGATGGCCTCCAACCTACAACATTGTCGCATTCTGTGAGGTGAGGATTGCAGCAGACCTTGCCCATGCGTTCGTGAAGGGTCGACGTTAAGATCTCAGACCGCAGTCGAGGAAGAGAAATTCCATATCCGATAATTTTGCTGGTGCTTCCGTAAAGCTAAATCAATCTCTGAAGAGAAGGGCATGAGAACCAAAGCTGACTAGTGAGCGTTTTGGGTTGAAAAGGTCTCAATCATTTTGCTAGTTGTAACAAGAAGCTATTAGGAACAAGTGCATCGCTTCTAGTAACAAGTGCCTTACTAGTAGTA